AGTTCAGACTGAAGGCTGAGAATCAGAGTGGCCAGACTGTGAAAATTCTTAGAACTGATGGTGGTGGTGAGTATAACTCCATAGAATTCAGAAGTTTCTGTAAGGAGAATGGAATTGAGCATGAGGTTACTGCTCCATATACTCCTTAATATAATGGTCTTGCTGAAAGAAGAAATCGTACTTTGCTAGATATAGTGAGAAGCATGCTGAAAGAGAAGAAGCTTCCTCATACTATATGGGGAGAAGCTGTTGCAACTGCATGTTATGTGCTCAATAGATGTCCAACAAAGAAATTAAAGGAAATAGTTCCTATTCAGAAGTGGACTGGAGATAAGAAAAGTGTTAGTCATCTGAAGGTATTTGGTTCTGTATGTTACAAACATGTCCCAGAAGCCAGAAGACAAAAGCTGGATGATAGAAGTAAAGTGATGTTGTTGGTGGGGTATCACAGTACATGTTCGTACAAACTTTATTGTCCAGAAACTAACAAAGTTGAGTTCAACAGAGATGTCATTGTAGAGGAATCAGAAGTTTGGAATTGGGAAAAGTCTCATCCTGACTCTGATGACATAACTTCTGAAGAAAGGTCAGAAATACATGTTTCTGAAGCTAGTAAAGACTCTGACTCTGAAGAAGATACAGAAGGAGAAGATGATTCTGACTCTGACTCCGATGGTGATCCAGACTCTGAAGACAGTCAAGGTTCTGGAGAAAGTCCAATTTCTGAAGCAAGTTCTTCTGAAGGGGAAAGTTCTGGAGAAAGTCCAATTGCTGAAGCAAGTTCTTCTGAAGGAGAAAGTTCTGGTGTCCAAAGTTCTGAAGGTCCAGCTCAGAGGCAACAAAGAGTCAGAAGCATCCCAAGAAGATTTGCAGAGTTTGACATGTTGCTAGACACTGAAATAAACTCTGAAGGAGAATTTATTCAGTGTGCAATGTTAGTAGACTCTGAACCCGTGAGTACAAAAGAGGCTCTTGAGAACCAAGTTTGGTTACAGGCCATGAAAGAAGAACTTGATGCTATAGAGAGAAACAATACTTGGAAGCTGACAGAACTTCCAAAAGGCAAGAAAGCCATCAGCGTTAGATGGGTTTTCAAGCAGAAGCTAAAGCCAGATGGATCAATTGGCAAACATAAAGTGAGATTAGTAGCAAGAGGCTTCCTACAGAAGCCTGGGCTGGATTACTTTGAAGTTTTTGCACCTGTAGCGAGACATGAAACAATCAGACTAGTGATTGCAATAGCTGCTAACAGGAATTGGCCTCTGATGCATTTAGATGTAAAATCTGCATTTCTGAATGGTCCATTACAAGAAGAGGTGTACGTTTCACAACCTCCCGGATTTGAGAAAAATAATCAGGAAGGGATGGTGTTCAACTTACACAAAGCATTGTATGAATTGAAGCAAGCGCCCAGAGCTTGGAACTTGAAAATTGATTCGTTTTTCAAGGAACAAGGGTTTCAGAAGTGTGATATGGAGTATGGTGTTTATGTTTGGCACACTTCAGAAGGTAATATGATTTTGGTCCGTTTGTATGTTGATGACATATTACTCACAGGAAGTTCTGAACAAGAGATAGCTGAGTTCAAGAAAGTTCTGATGAATGCGTTTGAGATGACAGATCTTGGAAAAATGAGTTTCGTTCTAGGGATGTAATTTATATACTCTAAGAAAGGAATCATTTTACATTAGATTAAGTATGAACTAGAGCTTCTGAAGAGATTTGAGCTAGAAAATTGCAAGGTTGCCGTCACACCTGCTGATACGAATCAGAAGTTGGATTCTGATTCTGATGGAGAGGATGTGGATGCTACAACCTTCAAATAGATGGTTGGTTCTCTAAGGTATTTGTGTAATACCAGACCTGATATTTGCTATGCAGTTGGAATGGTTAGCAGATTTATGAGAAAACCAAAGTGGTCCCATTACCAAGCTGCAGTCAGGATTCTGAGGTATGTGAAGGGAACTCTGAAATATGGAGTGTTATTTCTGTCAAGAAGAAAGATCGAATCAGAGCTTCTGAGTTATTCTGATTCTGATTGGTGTGGAGATAGAGTTGACAGAAGAAGTACTTCTGGGTACTTATTCAAATTTCTGGGAGGTCCTATTTCTTGGTGTTCCAAGAAGCAACCAGTCGTTACTCTGTCAACCTGTGTAGCTGAATATATTGCAGGTGCTCTGACAGCATGTCAAACTGTGTGGATTCTGAACTTGCTGAAAGATCTGAAGATTGAGGTGAATAAACCTCTGAAGCTAATGATTGATAACAAGTCCGCAATCAATCTTGCCAAGAATCTAGTGTTGCATGGGAGAAGCAAGTATATTGAGACCAAGTATCATTTTCTGAGAAATCAAGTTCAGAATGGAATAATAGAGGTTGTGCACTATAACACTCAGAAGCAGCTGGCAGATGTTCTGACAAAGGCTATCAAAATTGATCAATTTCTTGGTTTAAGGGATGGAATTGGTGTTGTCAGTTTTGGATAAATATAAATTAAGGGATGGTGTTAGAATTAATTTAGATTTAATTAGATATTAGTTTATATTTAGGAATATATCTTATATCTTCTTATATCTTTGTAGAAGATTTATTTTAGATTTAATTTGTGTGTATAAATAGCCTAGTGGAGTAGGTTATTATAATTCATTGTAAATCCTTATTTTTGAAGCTATCAGTAAATATTCCTTTTGCCTTTTATCTTCCTTGTGGTCCAACAATTGGTATCAGAGCATCGATGCTAGGTTCCTACACTATGCATCAATGCTCCTAATAATCTCCCCCCAACATGGTATCAGAGTCAGGTTCAAGAAAGGGACCGAAAAAATGGGGGAGCATTGTGGACTCACACTTGAGGGGTAGTGTTGGAATAATATAGCAAGTGTGAGTAACTGGGGAAATAGTCCCACATTGAATAAGAATGTGGAGACTTAAGCATATATAAGTGGGAGAACCCACTCACCTATCACCTTAAAGTTTTAGGTGGAGAAGTGGTGTGTCTCTCTCAAAGGTGCTTGTTCCTATACTATGCATCAATGCTCCTAATAATCCCCCCCCAACAAGATTGAAGGGGGTGTCCCACTAGGTTTCATTTACATAGGGATAAAAACAACACACCTCCTTGTTAAGAATGAACTTAATTGGATATTTGAAAGCAGAGGCCATTACACCTAAATACACAAATAAAAAGATAAGAAGCAAGGGGAACAATCTCACACAGTGACTATCCTACCCCCCATAGTTACCAAACAATAAGAGTAAAGTAAATAAAACTAACTAATTGAAGGAGATGAATGAAGCGTAGCGGAAGAAAATCTTGAGAGTGATTACAAAACATAACAAAACACTCTTGATGATCTTGAGGAATTCGAAAATAAAAGCAAGTAGAAAAGTTCAAAGATGTGAATTCTCGAAAGTATTTATGCAAAAAGAAAGAAAGTACGAAAAGGAAAAAACCTTAACTTTGAAAGCATAAACATCATGAGAGTATGAACACTAGATGATAGATAAGTGGCATAAAGAATGTTAATGTCATTATGACAAAGAAGGTTTCGAGGAAAATCTTCATGAGAAGGCTAGAGGTAATCTATCGTATCATTAAACCTAAGTTATCACGTGGCGAGATACCAAGAAAATAATAATTGAGGAGTCATATTGATGATGAAATAAATAGAAGAGAAAAACATAAAACGATTCTCTTGGCACAAAGTAACATGAAGATTTATAAGCCCTAACCCGATTTCACTAGGCCGAGCTTGAGGGAAAACTGCTCTTAGTGGGATACAGATCAAGGTGAGATTAACTCAACGTTCCACATGCCAGTAGATAGTGACCATGGCTAAAGTCCAAACTAGTTTCGACGTCGTAAAAAAAGACCATACAAACATGAAGAAATAACTATTAGTGATAATAATAACATCACCATAAAGACATCAAGAGAATGTCATCAAAGGAACGTTCTAGAGTCAATAGCACATACATGAACCTACTCTAACAAAACACTTGATCAATGTACTAAAGAGTGTGTAAACCGTTGGATCACGAAACAAATTATAACTCACCACTTAACAAGATGGATGGTTAAAACAAAAACTAGAAGACAAATTATATCTCACCACTTAAAAAATTGTATTAGTATTGTGGATGATGTTGAGTTTGAAATTAGATGCAAAGTTGAATTGAATATTAAAAAATCTAATAAATATAAAATATTTAGTTATTAGAAAAGAATAATTATTGAAAATTCTTAAAATAATAGAGAAGCATAGAATCAAGTAAAGTATTTTTTGGTTATCATCAAAATAAAAGTAAAGTATTTTTGTATGCAAGTCTCATCACAATTTTACTTTTCATTTTTCTTTATAAAATCTACATTTCGCATAATTGAAGAGGTGAATGAAGAACATAAATAAAAATAATCAAAACATTAGACTCTTTGGGAGTTTATAAGATAACAATAATAATAACATTGGTCAAATTTCCTTTAAAAAAAAAAAGATTAATTGAATTTTGAGCATAAAAATAAATAAATAAATAACCTCAAGATTATTAGGAGAACGAAAAGGCAAAGGCATCAAAAGAAAATGATGGAGAAAAAAACATGAAATAACCAATTAAATTGGATTTACCTTAAAACGAGGAAACAAACCTGTCTTTTTCTAGTGTACAAGGTTATTTTCAAATTTCAATAACTGTTTTTCCTCTCTTGTCTTTAAATGCAACTATAAAATCTCACAGTTCTCTCACCAGATCTTCTAGACCCATTTGTTATTTTTGTTATGTTTCTCTTTGTTATCAAATTTTTGTCTTTAACTATGAACATGTTTTTAGTGGTGAAGTTGAAAGTTTGGAAATTTCCTATAGATTCTGTATGTTAATGAAGTTTCAAAATTTGGCTTTTTCATATAGCTGTTGTGGATTTTGGGTTACTGTGGTTTCATTTGCAAAGCACCAATGGTTTGGGAAATTGGCTTAGTTAGGATTTTGATTTGGCTTATAGTTTCATGATAGCTAGGTTAGGAATCCTTGTAGCTGCTTCAGTTGCAGCCTATACATTTCAGCAGAATGTGAATGGATCAAAATCAGGTACTTGTGAATTGTGATAATTCACAATTTTGATTTTTCAGTTTGTTAATAAGCAAAAAGTTCTTAACTTGATTCATATTTATGGATAATTCTATGTAATAAAGTTGACCCTTTGTGTTCATCTTCGTTAAGATCGCGGTGAAGCAAGGATTAGGGAACATCAAGATCAGGGCTTAGAACAGAAGCATTCTATTTGTTCTTCTAATGGTGAGGTAAAGTATAATTCGATGAAATTATCAAATTTTATATTGGTTTTATGGTTATGAAGTAGGTTTATTTGTCTGAATTTTTCTTTACCTTTTGCAATATGTTTTGACATTGTTGTAGATGGAAGAAGAAGATCAAGAAGAGGAGGTTAAGTTAATTAGCAGCATAATCAATCTTGCTAATGATTTTGACGATGATATTCTATCTGAATTTGAAAGCCTTCTATCTGAGCAGATTGAGTTTCCGTTACTTGCTGGCAAGATCAGCGAGGCCGTGAAAGACGGAGATAAGGAAAACGAAATGGAAAAAACCGGTACTGAATTAGAACGGTTGCAAAGTGTAGTCAAGGAACTGGAGGAGAGGGAAGCGGGTCTTGAAAGTGTGTTGCTTGAGTATTATGGTTTGAAGGAGCAGGTTGTAGACACGGAAGAGTTACAAAGGCAGTTGAGAATTAAAACTGTAGAAATAGATATGCTTCGTATGACGATTAAGTCCTTGCATGAAGAAAACGAGAAACTTCAAAAAGAGGTCACAAATGAAGCTTCGGCAATCAGAGAACTTGAGGCTGCTAGAAACAAGATCAAGGAGCTGCAATCGCAGGTACGCGTCGCTGCTAACCAAACAAAAGGCCAGTTGTTGTTGCTTAAACAAAAAGTTTCTGGTCTACAAACAAAAGAAGAAGAGGTTGCGAAAAAAGATGCTGAGATCGAAAAGAAACTGAAAAATGTGAATGAATTAGAGATTGAAGTTGTGGAGCTTAAGAGAAGAAACAAAGAGCTTCAACACGAGAAGAGAGAATTAAGTGTTAGTCTTAATGCTGCTGAGTCTAGAATCGCAGAACACTCCAGTTTGACTGAGGTTAGAGTCCTGTAATTGATATCTATTCGAGTTGTTCCTTTTACAATTAATGAGTGTAGTTTAACCTTAAGATGCATTGCCTTGAATTGCAGAATGAAATGGTTACCGAGGCAAAAACTGAAGTTGGTTGGTTAAGGCATGCAAATGAAGACCTGCAAAAGCAAGTGGAAGGACTCCAGATGAATAGGTTCGGAGAAGTTGAAGAGCTTGTATACCTTCGTTGGGTCAACGCATGCTTGAGATATGAACTTAGGAATTACAAGGCACCTATAGGAAAATCATCGGCGTGTGATCTAAACAACAGTCTCAGTCCAAAATCACGAGAGAAGACTAAACAGCTAATGCTAGAATATGCTGGATCAGAGCGCGAGCAATGTGAAACTGATCTTGAAAGCAACTTCTCCCATGGTCCCACTTCACCAGGCAGTGAGGATCACGGGGACAATGAATCTATCGATAGTCCTTCTTACAAATATAGCAATCTTTGCAAGAAATCTAGCTTAATCCAAAAGTTGAAGAAATGGAATAAATACAAAGATTATTCAAGTGCTCTTTCATCACCAACTAGATCTCTTTCAATAGGATCTCCTTGCAGGGTGACTACGAGCTATAGGCCAAGGAATACACTCGAATCCCTGATGCTAAGGAGTTCTCATGACACGGTAGCGATCACTACTTTCGGGAGGAAGGAACTCGAACCTACTCGTTCTCCTGAAACTCCATCTCTTCCAAGCTTGAGAAAAGTTTCATCGAGTGATGACATCCTGGATTCTGTTTCGGCTTCATTCCAATTGATGTCTAAGTCAGTTGACAGGTCTATGGATGAAAAATATCCTGCGTATAAAGACCTCCATAAATTGGCATTGGCAAGGGAGAAGCAACTTAAGGAAAAGGCTGAGAGAGCAAGAGTGCAGAAGTTTGGTGACAATTCAAATCCTGATATGACAGTGGCTGAACACGAGACACCGGTATCCTTTCAACCAAAACTTTTCCACGTTGAGATTAGGCCTCCAAGGATGCCTCGGCCACCTCCTAAACCATCTGACGGTGCTCCTGTTTCAAATTCTTACAATGGAATACCATATGCACGATCCGTGCCTTCTCCACCTTCGCCGCCGCCACTAGGAAGTCTACCTAAAGGATCATTAGGTGATGATAAAGTTAAAAGGGCTCCCGAGCTTGTTGAATTTTATCAATCTTTGATGAAACGGGAAGCAAAGAAGGATACCTCATCACTAACTTCTTCGACAAGTAATGCATCTGATGCCAGGAACAACATGATTGGAGAAATTGAGAATAGATCATATTTCCTCTTAGCTGTAAGTGTTAAGATTTTCCTTCTGTTGTATTTTATTTAGAATCTTGGCATTTCATTCATTGCAAATTTAGGTTTTTTGTAATGGGTATAGGTGAAAGGTGATGTAGAAACACAAGGTGATTTTGTCATGTCCTTGGCAACTGAAGTTCGAGCAGCCTCGTTTTCTAAGATTGAAGATGTAGTTGCTTTTGTGAACTGGCTAGATGAGGAACTCTCATTCCTGGTAAGCCTTTTAAGTATTATTTCTACTCCATTAACGAATTACACATCCTTCAAAACTAATTCGTCCATTTTGTTGATATTACGAGAAATCATGAAAGTTGGTACATTGATTTTTCCGTTCTACTCATTTCTTTTTATTTCTTATATTAGATTGATGAACGAGCTGTTGTCAAGCACTTCAATTGGCCTGAAAGTAAAGTAGACGCACTACGGGAAGCGTCTTTTGAATATCAGGATATGATGAAATTAGAGAATCAGGTCTCCACCTTCACCGATGATCCTGAACTCCTATGTGACGATGCTTTGCACAAAATGCATTCATTGCTTGAAAAGTAAGCATCTTTTTATATGTTATAGCTATTTGTACCATAAATACTTGCTTAGGAATCTGTTACTTACTCGTAAAGTAATGTAATTTGTTTCTTGATATAGGATTTAATACGGATGATATATCATGAAGATTATTTTTTCCGTTTTCTGTTTTCTTTTGTAGATTAGAGCAAAGTGCATATGCGCTCTTACAGACAAGAGATTTTGCCATTTCACGGTACAAGGAGTTTGGAGTACCGGTAAATTGGCTATTCGATTCGGGAGTTGTGGGCAAGGTATTCTAATCTTAAACAATTTTATTTTACACTGAATTTGCTTTGATGCTAGTTGTGTTTAATTGTATCAAATGGTCACTAAGTAGTTGCTACCAATTACTTGCAGATCAAGCTTTCTTCTGTCCAACTGGCAAACAAGTATATGAAGCGTATTCTATCTGAACTTGTTAAACTATCTGGACCTGATACAGAATCGACTGCGACAAGAGGGTTTTTAATTCTGCAAGGTGTGCGCTTTGCTTTCCGTGTTCATCAGGTAACTTCGTGCGCGGTGATACATGATACTAACATTGTCTCTTGCAATAACATCATACTAAAGCCTGCGAAATCTCTTGCACTGTTTTCAGTTTGCAGGAGGCTTTGATATTGAGAGCATGAAGACTTTTGAAGAACTAAGAAACAACATTCATGCTCAAGCAGATGAACATAATAATAAATCAGAAACAAAGACATAGTGAGAACATTAAAAGGTTTTTTTTTTTTTTTACATGTAAATTGTTTTTTACTTGTACACTTGTAGTTATTATTTCTCATAAATGTTACCACCTCAACTGTATAGTTCAATTTTCATAAAGATAAATGTTGTTTTACACAATTTTAGACAAGATCACATCATATTTATAAAGGTTTTCGAGTTTTGATTTTTCCTCTTTCTCCTAGTATCATAGTATCCTTGTTCTGTTAGTTTAAATTCTATTAAGAGTAGCAAAAGGTAATTGGATCTATGATGTTGATTTTCGTTGGATTCTAAATTCTTGATTTGAATTTTTTCTTATCTCTTTCTTTTTTTATTTATGTATCTTTGATGATGAAGATACCGTTTTTGTTTGTTTGTTAGAAAACCATAAACTATGAGTAAATGATATACTCATTTTTTAAAGGTTCCTATCTTATGGGTACATCATCTCCAATTAGGGATGGATAAATTTGAACAAATCGACTGATCCATTGTGTTTTTTGAACAAATGGATTGGGTCGGATTGGGTGTCGAGTTCATTGGATTACTTAATTTGGGTATTATAAAGTTGATTTAGTCGGACTCGGATAATTATTTTAGATCCGTTGGAAACCGAATCCGACCGAATTTAACAAATATTTATTTTATATATTTTTTATTACTTTAGAGTCGAAGCATTATAAAAATAGAGTTCATAATATTATCAAATTATTATCATTTTTATAATTTAATAGTGACATTGTATACTCATAAAAATACAAGATATACAATATAAAATTTTGAGTGTTATTTAATTTGTTGTTTAAAGTACAATAATGAACAAATTAATATCAAATGATATTTAAAATTGTATAACGTAATAATAACGTTTTTTCAATAATAAAAAAATAATTCTTTAAATTATTCTAAAATTTTGATAGTTTTTATTAAAAAAATTAAAAGATAATATTTGTGAACTTTATAAAAGATGAGTAATTTTTATATATTTATTTCAATAATATTAATCGATCAAATTCATCCGCTTTACCCGTTAAACCGATTAAATCGAATCTGTCAAAAATTGGAGTTTTATCTGTCAGAATCGGGCCTTAGTAATGAAATCGCATTTGCGTCAGATTTAAGTTTTTGGTCCGACTTCAACCCAAACCGACCGATTGTCTGCCCCTATTTCCAAAAGCCATAAAGAAAGAGAAGGGAGATTTGAATTTTATTTTCAATTTCAAAATAAAACCCCTTTCACTTGATTACCATTAAGCCAAAACAATTATCACATTAGGGCATCTATTATTTAAAGACAAATTATTATCTACATGAGTCATATTTAATGAACTAATACAACAATCTAACCGTCTCTCACTTGATTCGAGTGACTACTTGACGTTTCAATCTTATATCATAGTTGTACACCACTAATCGAAGCTATCAAGTCATCATCTTTAATTGAACTGAAATGATCGAAACATGTCGGTCTCAAGTTATTCATCAACTTGATTCCTTCCATGTATCACAAATCAATATGTATATTCAAAGACACATTTGTCATCACATATTAGCAATAATGTATACAACATAATAAGGATAATAAAACTAAGCAGAAACATAACATTGATTGAATTCACAAGTTTCATATAATACAAACATTAATATATATATATATATATATATATATATATATATATATATATATATATATATATATATATATATATATATATATATATATATATATATATATATATATATATATATATATATATATATATATATATATATATATATATATATATATATATATATATATATATATATATATATATATATCGATCATACTATAATGTTTACAAGGACTTTTACATAATGCACATCCTTTTTACATGGCCAACAAATTTCTAAGACAACAAACCTTTAGTTAACAAATCCACTATCATTAAATTTGTACTAATGTGTTCAAATGAAACTTTTTGTTTCTCTCATTCTTCTTTCACCAATAAGTACTTAAATTTCATGTGTTTAGCACCTTTTGAATACTTATCATTCTTAAAGAAGAAGACTCTTTCAAAATTATCACAATTAATCCACAGCGGCCTAACAATATTATCACGATGCCAATCCCTAAGTTAAAATTCTGCAACAACAATGATTGATTTGTGGCAATTATATATTGTTTTTCAGTCTTCCATGATATTGCCCCTCCATGTAATAACTGGCAAAAAATATAGAGTCACCACTATTAATTTTTATCCTAAGACGGATATATAACAGAATAATCCTAGTTGATGATACAAAGATTCTAAGTTCTTGACTCACTTTAGACGAAGGGAAGGTGTTATGCACCCTTCATCTACCTTGTTCACAAGGATACTAGGATTTAGGTTTAAGGTTTAGGAATATGGTTTTAATTTTTTAGTTAGGGGAACTCGCCTTGGTTTTTAAGTCGCGTGCATATGTATCCTCTTATGAGGAAACAGAGTTCCAATTCGTAGTTCGAATTGTTTAGTTAGTTTTTTTATAGATTGTAGAAATATTTTGAATTAATCCTTGAACCAAGTCTGGGTTGAAAATAACGGAATCGTAGACATAGTTCGTAGTTAATGAAAAAGATCTCCACAATCCTTTTTGAAAATATTTTAAATTTAATTATGTTAGTAGAAAAAATGTTAGTATTTGATGAGATAGTTGTCTTAGATGTGCTATGCAATTATGCAAAAATAAGTTTGAATGAGAAAAAAATTTAATGCAAGTTAGAAAAATAGGATTAGTATTTTTTAGAAAAAATTTAATTATCAAATAATTATTTTTTAATTATTAAAAAAAATTAAATAGTTTTAATAAAAATTCAATAATTATTTATTAATAATTTTTATACAAAAATATATTTAATGCAAATGTTAAAAATAATGACATGTAAATTAAATAAAAATAAGAAAATAAGTAAAATTAATAAAATAATTTAATTTAGTTAAAAAAGGGGTATATAAATAAGGATAAGTGGTGTATTAGAAAAATATCTGAGAATTATTTATAAATGCAGTGATGTGAGGAATAGACCTAAGTGATTATCTACAAGGATGCGATGAACTATTTAATTGAAAAATTAAACGTATTCACAAATTTTGTTAATTTAATAAAACTACATAATCAATATATTTTTTTGTATTTTTATATTTATTGAATGTGTTAGATGCTTTTTTTCCTAATATAGTTCTATTAAAAACTAAATTAACTACGTAAGTGAATTAATAAAAATAATAATTTAAATAGAGAGAATCAAATTAAATAATAAACACTCCAATAAAATTAAAGAAACAACTAAAACTAAATTATAATTAAATGGTGTAGATTGAATCCATTGAGAATCAAATTTTTCTATGCGTGTCAGTATAGTGATATCTTTTCAATGACAAACTTATCTCTCTTTCTATGAAATTAATATAATATTAGTACTTTAGAAATTTATATAATATATAATACTGACTTTAAGAATACTAGTACTACATGCTAAGGAGTTTTATTTGACTTTAAATATTACTAGTACAAGACAACACACTTCATATTGTTTTGAAAAGAAAATACAGGAACAACAAAAAATACTTTTTTCTCTCCTTGTCTCTCTTCTTCTTCTTCAGACACAACCAAAACTCCTTGTCCTTTTCTTTCTCTCTCCACGTGAATAATTGTGTATGAAAAAGTGATCTTCTCTAAAGTGTAGAAATTATCGATAATTGTTCGCCACTGTCTGTTAAAGACAACAATAGAAAATTATTGAAAATTGTTGATTGTAAGATATTGTTGATTTCCACATGATTGTTGATGGAGACTTCGAGGTTTCTTTGTTGTTGTTCTTCGATGTGAAAAGCAATAACTTTTAGGAGAACCCTAGTGAGTTGTAGATGAAAAATAGTGTGAAAGAGTGACATATTTATAGTGATAATTAGATCAACAAATTAAGAAATAAAGTTAATTGACAAATCAAATTTTCCTTGGTCACTAAACTAACCAATCATAAGATGAATATGACACAAACTGACATTGATTGACTAATAAAAAATAATTAAACATAAAAAAGAAAATAATTTTGGTATTTATTATAATTTTTGCACTCAATTTTGATAAAAAGTGCATAAAATTAAATAAATAATTTAAAAAAATATTCATTAATTAAAAGTACCAAAATAATATTTAAATAATAAAAAAATAGTTTTTTTGTGATTTTTTTGAATATAAATGGAAATAAAATTAGCAACATATAGACATAAAAATATTCAAGGTACATCAAGTGAGATTTGAACTCATGACCTTATGTTTTACAAGCTTTATTCCTTACCAATTGTGCTACATTGCTTATTTGAAACAAAATATCAATTGAAAGTATATGAAGACGAGCAAGTATTTGTTAATAAATTATTATGTATATTTTTAAATAAGCAAAATAATTTTAAAATTAATATTTATAAAAACCAAATAATGTTAGTGTACCAAAATAATTTTAAAACCTAATTTTGAAAATAATTTTGACTGTAGCATCGAGACGGAAAAATTTGGGGTATGACACTCCATTCAGAAGAAAAACATACCTAAATGTGAATTTCCTTGAGTCCATACATCCCAAAAAGTTTAAATTCGATTAGTTAACCATTTCAAGGTGACCAGCCATTCTATATGTGAGCATGTAACTTTTGGTGCCTTATAAGTACCAAAGAATCTTCTTTGCAGCTTTCCATGACTTATGTGAACGAGACTAGATCCTATCAATGCTTAAGTCACCTTCACACTCAAATGAATAAATACTATAATCTTTTGAAATATCTGGTCTTCTATGTTAGACGGTGTGGCAAGTGATCGAGAGGGGGGTGAATAGATCACCTCCTTATTATTCAAGGATTTAAAATCTTTTATCAAAGTTGATTAAAAATAGTGGAAAAACATGGTCCCGAATCAATTTCCGTCTATTTTGAACCGACTACTAGAAAACCGGACATACGATAAACTTGCTAGATT